ATTGAATACACTTCGTTCTCACTAGGTTGCATACAGGTTCAACCATTCCTGGAAATCCTACGTGTAGTTTGATGCGATCATAGACTGTTCAATCCGAATGAGATTTTTGTGAGATTCCACTGTGGGGTGATTAGCGTTGTGTGTTACACGCTATATTGTCATTGTATCAATTGTCACATTTACTCGTTGTGAATAGATGTCGCAGTTGTAAAATTTTTAATAAATAAGAAATATATAATTTACAGATATTTACAGTTATTACACAAATCGGATCAAGTTAGACAAACCGGTGAACAATTTCCAAAGCCGGGTTTAAAGGGTTCTTTCCGCTGTACAATTCTTGTTCGGGTCTCTTCAAGCGTATTTCGAAGGCTTTTGATGGTTGTACACGTGCTTATTCAACTTTCCCTAAATATAAAGCATGTCGGAAGAGATCTTAAAACCACCTGTTTCTGCTAGTGAACTTTTCTAATCCTCTTTTTGTACGCAGTCATTGAAAAATAAACAATTTGAAAATATTTTATCTTTACATCATATTATTGCAATTATAAAGTTATGAAGTAACATATATTTGTCACTGATGGTAATATTCCGTTATTTATTTAATTATTTATTAAAAATCAGAGATATGACCTAAAATGTAGTTTTACGATTGAAGTCTAATATTAATTTCGAAGTCACGAAATGCTTCGAACAGCGCCGTATTAAGCAGCAGGGCGTGTGTACGAATCCCGCTCGTGACGCTGACTTTTTCATTTCAAACAATACCTTTCAAAAAGATTAATTAATTGAAAGAAGTTATATAAATTGTTTGTGTTGAACTAAACGCCAATTGATGTAACTATAGATATTGACATGTTCAATGCTATTTCTAGTGTGAAAGTGTGTCTGTAATTAAAATTGACATATAAACTATTTAGCTTAAATTAACAGTTGATATTCACTGCGCAATATACTCAAAGAAAACAACTGAACACTCATATTCTGCGGTTTACATTGAAACGTGTATTTTGTATTATAACTAAGTTAAACATTCATACATAAAAACAACAAAATGCGTCCCTTTTTTGTCTTTGTTGTATAAATGTAAAATTGTGACATAAGCACTTTTATTTTTTTACAACAATTAAAAACACTTAAATAAAAGCACTCCTAAGCGTAATTGAATTACAATAAAAATATTCGAATTAAATATGTGAACATTTGCTGCTATTTTAGATCTTGTTAACTTACCTGCAAAAGAGTTACAATTATAAACAATTCAAATAAAATATTAAAACCTTGTGTTTAATTCTTCAAAATTACTAATTGTCATTATATATACATATTAATTATAAATAGATGTAACAACTTTAGAATGGATTAATATTTTTATTGCAGTACTACCTATAACTGTTTGCGCTTATGCGTAGACGTCAAGTTGTACTTATGTTGCTATGAACAGTCATAATAATGATGATTTTCTCGATCCTTTCATATTCTTTGTAATTTCTGCAGATATAAGAGATTATCATATCATAAAAATTCTATTGAAAGAAAAGCAGCACGGTTTAAAACAACTATGTAGGTGAAAATATGAGATAGAATTTTTAAAAGTTCTGTCAAGTTTCTGCCTAAATTCCATATTTTCAAAATGCATCACGAAATGCTGCGTTACACGAAATCAAAGTGGTCCAGTTATGTGATACATAAGCTGAGCGTTTACCGTATTGCAAAGTGAGAGTACTAATTACTCAATAGTTTACTAATTAATTTTTTTTATTTGCTAGGTACGGTGGTAGTTAGTATTGAACTGTGCCACGATTCAGCTGGAAGTTAAATGGTTAATTAATTAAATTCAATAGTTTTCGTGGTCCGCTTGATCAATTAATATATTTCAATTAATTAATGTTTTTAACTGTGATAAAAACGTCAGTGTCACGAGCGGGATTTGAACCCACGATATTCGGCTAGATACGCCGTTGCTCTACCACTTGAACTGTCGTGACCTGAGGTATAAATGAGGTCACGATAGCTCAAGTGGTGACACTTACTTTTTTATCTCAACTAAAAACCTTAATTAATTGGAATTGTTAATTAATCTTTTTTCACGCTATTTTTTGTGGGGGAGGAGGGTTTTGAAAACTTTGTAAGTATAGTCAAATAATAGACAACACCTCCTATTTACTTTTTCCCGGTTTTTTATAAGGCACTACTTAAACCGATTTGGACATACGAATAACAACTGTAGGGCACCGCGCTAAACCTTCCAACATCCGAGGAATATTGTCCTTCCAATCAAACATCCCAAGTAATCAGAAATATTATCAACTCTCCCTACTAAGTTTCCAACACTACCCTTCACAAAGGCGTTCCAATACCCTTCGTTAAAACTCTAACCCCCGAACAAGTTAGGGGAACATCCCCGAACACCACATTAGCTAGCAACAGCTCGAAAATGAATAGAGATATTTGTAATTTATTATTTTTCTATTTTATTTAAATTAACCGATACATTCCTTTTAGTTGGATAAATCTAGAAATGTAAATAATAAAATAGAAAATATAATCCAAAAATAAACAAACATCCTCATTTTTAATAATGGATTTAGTTAAGAATAGTACGGAAGGTTACTTATTTTGTAAACAAACATCTTTTCTCGTATTTTCTCAATTTTAGACCAGTTGTACTCTCTTTAATCATAGAAAGACATCATCTTGTACCGGAAGCTCCCAGTATTATTGTGAGAATGAATCATCTAGGTGAGGCAAGTAGATATCGCAGAGGCCGTTGGCATTTCTCAGAGCGACGTCTCCCCGTCTGATTCCGAGAGACTGGAAGTGCCAATAGGAGGCCTGGTAGTGGATCTCAGCGCATTACGACGCTAAAAGATGGCAGAAATATTGTCATTGCTGGAAGACGGGACCCTTTCCATCCAAGATCCTAATAAAGTAAAAGATGTTTTGGCAAGGTCTTTTATTCGTAACCGTTTGTTGGAAGTTGGCCTCACTGGCCACTTTGAGACGAACTGCAGCAACAGCTCGCCACCAGTAGAACAGGATGTAGTGAATGCCTAGAAGAGAACGCCAATTGGAATGCTGTTGTGTTTACTGATGAGTCGCGTTTCTGTCTGTTTAGTGATAGCAGGTTCCGAGAACAGGAGATGTGTACAAGGCCCCAGTTCGTGCTCGTTTCAGTACAGTTTCGAGGAGGCGGTGTTATGGACTAGACTGATATTTACAGTAGAGGACGAACGACTCCATATTGTTGAAGGCAACCTCACCGCAGTTCGTTATGTCCAAGAAATTATCGAGGAATACATTCCTCAAACCAGGGATTGCATTGGCATTGATTTCGATTTCTGGATGACAATCAGATCTCATAGAGGCAGAGTTGTTCATCACTGTCTAGAATGCCTTGGAATTTCCCATCTGCCCATTCCCTATTGTTTCCCAACTTCAATCCCATTGGGCACATGTGGGATGCGTTGCAGAGCAGAGAAGGCTTTTCGATTACCCTCCCCTAGTTGACCTGCAACAACAGAGCGCAGTGTTGCAACGTCTATGGAGTGAAATTCCTTATGAATATCGTGACAACCCTACTAACAATATGCCTAACAGGTGCACAGAGTTTTTAGTTAACAGGACCATAAGGTCCATAAGGACCATAAGGTGTATAAACACGGTATTAATTGTTTAAAAAAATTGTGTCAAATAAACAGAATTATGGAATTTAAACCTTTTATTTTGTTATTTTTCAAAATTCCTTAACTAAATTTTCTTTCAGTAAAAACCATTACAATTTCTAATAAATTTTAATGCAACTTATAATAAAGATAAAAAATGTTAGGAAAAGTAAATACTACAAAATCGGCAATATCCCTATTCATTTTTGAGCAGTTTATTTCCAAAATTACCCATCCCTACAAACCAGTATGCTCCCCTCAGGATAAATTCAAATGGTAAATAATACTGTCTCTCATTACATAATCTATATAATTGTTACGGATGGTTATAAAGAAATATTTTAAAAAACTTTACCTCCGATTTAGGATGAAGTGTCATTTTTCTACATTGGTTGCAATTTTCTGCATAATGCCATTTTTAAAATATTAGGGGGTCAGAAATTCAAAGTTATGCTGCATTTTTGTTACATGTTGTGTACAATTTTGCCAAACTCATTAGGTATCCAGTATTAGTTACAGAATACCCATAATATACAGCGTACGGAAATTATAATTTCAATTTTGGCATTGAAATTAAAATGAATAGACAAATCGATTTGGCTAAGAATTGTGCGATTTTTAAATGTGTTTGTTATTTGAAGCTTTAATTAATTAGATCACTAAATAAACAAATTTGTATTTTTTATTTTTTTAGTGAATTTATCGATACTCCTTTGTTGTTTTTAAAAGAACAAACCTCTTATAAATTATATATTAATTATAAGCACAACGTCCAATCAATTTTAAATCACAATTCTACAGTCGAGGACAAAGGATTGAGATTTCTGAACTTTTTAATACCCAGACCTCAACGAAAGTTGTTCATTTTCTAATATCTATATCTGAAATGAATTTTGTTATTTAGTTGAAAATGTCAAAACTATCGAGAATCTTGATAAAAAAAGAAAAATTTCCGTCGAGTTTATAAACCCCTGTCAGGTTAGCTACATTTCTGTTATCGCATAATTCACTGGATATATTTGGAAAAAAAAACTTTAGATTTATAGCTGTATAAATTATTCGATTCAAAACGAGATGACCTGGTATTAAGAGGGTGAATTAAAAACTGATACTCTTTTATCAGAAGGCTCAACCCTCTAACATTATCAATATGTGTATGTTTATCCTGTGATTTGTGTATCCTCTTTAACTAACCCTTTCCATTGCATGCTCTCTCTCTCTCTCTCTCTCTCTCTCTCTCTCTCTCTCTCTCTCTCTCTCTCTCTCTCTCTCTCTCTCTTTCATACTATCTCTCATAACACTGATAGCATGATACCAATAAAGTCCGGGTTGCAGGAGATCTCCCTTCTCACGGCAGAAGAACACTTTTACAGCGAGGACGGACGAGGCTGTTCAGACCAGCGCTGCACGGCTGACATTCACTCCGTTTTATCAAAGATCATTAAGAAATGCTCTGGCGACAGGTTAGTCCCCATCCCTTATTTCGTTCTGCTTCTCTTTTCTTCCTTCCTTGTGTTTTCGTCAGTTTTTCCCTATTTTTGTTTGTTTATGTTGTTCAAGAGCCTTATTTTGTCATATCTTCTATTATTTTACTTTGTTAAAGGTTGTTTACTAACATCCTTTATATGGAAATAAAATGTAACCTTTTATCTATTTATTATATTAATTTAAACATTATTATTAATGTTTTTTAAACCTTATTTATAGCTATTTTTACATTACTAGCATGTCTGCATGAATTAGGTAATCTGATTTTTTAATAATCTAATTAGCAGTAATGTTTATAAAATGTTTTGTTAGTATGAAAGTGTACATTTATAAGTTTTTTTACAGCAAAATGTATATTTTACTGTAAAATGGTGGTTCAGAAAGACGAGTATTTTTTCTTACTACACTAATTTCCATAGATGTACATCTGTATCTACTTCAACTTTCCAAAAATTATTTGTAATTGTATGGTAATTAATTAATTATTAGTAATCATTACAAATGAAGAACGACATAAAGTAAAAGTCATTTATGAGGGTTTTAATTAAAAGCATTTTTTAATTGGAAGATAATGCGTCAAAGGGTACCGTCCAATGATTTTAGATTTAAAGGTATTTAGTTTAACGCGCCATTTTTTGAATCACTGGTTTAAAGAGAACAGGTGAGCCTTCCGGTGAGGTTTCTGTGAGCTGTGGGATTGGGATAAGTTGATCATATGACTATGAGAATATGTAAGAGTAGTAGTGCAAGAAGACACTAATTTTGTTTGGAAAGACGACTAGACCAAATTTTGAGAAACGCTACTGAAGTAAGAGTAACCAACATTGTTTTGTTTTTTGTCATTGAGCCGTTTATTTTTATTTTCCTCAATTCATCATCATACGTCGAAAGTGACATTAAAGAAATTGCGAAGGGTTGCTTGGTGAATTTTTGCTTAGCTACCATACTCTTCGAAGTTGTGGCTGTCGGATTACCGTTTTGGCTGTGACAGTGAAAAGAAAACAATTTCAAATTGAATAGGGCCCGAAATGCGTACCTGACAACGTAAAATTAAACGCTTTTGATAATTGAAACATCTAATATTTACACAACCGATTTTTGGAACATTTTTATTATAACTTATTAATAATTAAGATAAAAATTTTAAATTCTTTAAAAATATAATTTTTTTCGCGTATAATAAAACTTGCAATTTTGATGTTTGATGTCGCACTGTTTTTTGGTACGTAAAACTTTTTCTGTTTTTTACATGACGGTAAAATGGAAGCTCACTGGTCGACCCGAGTCTGTTAATTATGAAACATTCGGAACATGTGACGGGGGTGTCCAACAAACGTTAACACTGGTGGAAGGAAGATTAAAATTTCAATATCCATGAATTCCTCCGACCGGGAGCCAATCAATGGTAAGGGCGTTGAAAACCGCGAATTAAGCTCATCTTTCCACAAATGAACGTAGGTAGAAAAAATATTAATTATTATTTATCACACTTTCCCATTAGTTTAAATCAAACATTTATTTTTTTACCATCCGACATTGGCAATTTATTATATTTAGCTCTATTGATGATACCAAACCAATACATTTCATTTTCCGTTCCAAAGCTGTTTAATCATATATATGATCAAAAATGGCAATTAAAATATATTTGTAATTTTATTAAGCCGTTGAAGCTTTCGAATACAATTATAATTTATGGAAATATTACAAAATTGCGTTAAGTTGATTTTATAAAGCATATTACCATTACAATTCTATGCTTTATAAGCCTCGTGTGCTTAATGTTTGATTAATTTGTTTTTGTGTTTTCAATATATTTTATTTGGGATAATTCTCTTGCAAATTGTTGATAATGCATGTTGTATTAATTTAAACATGCCCGCAGTCATAATATATCGATGTTTAACGATGCCAATCTGTAAATCATGTTTTTCTAATTAAAATGTAATTTATTTTATATAAAAACTATAAACAAGCTAAAAAAATGGTTTAAAAAACTTGGACTTTCGCACTTTTTCACAAGTTGTAAAATATTATCTGATCTTTTTGATCTGAACGGGTATATTATCCTATTACCTTATGACTTGTTTATTTTTAAACTAAAACGTTTCAGAAATTACAATTATTGGTAGGATTACGGAGAAGATGTAATAAATAGTAATTAAAGCAATTTACAGAAAATTTAAGAATATCGTAATCGTAATATATTTGCTTTGATCTATTGCATTAAGTGTATTATTAACTTCGCTTGTATGAAATGAATGCTTACATATTATAATTTAACGTTTAATTAAAATGACATAAGTTGCTAAAATTGTAAATTGTGCTTGGGTTGCTGTAAAATTATTATTGCAGGTTTTGAAAATTTGTTTTATTTTCGCAGGTGCTTATGTAAACAAAGCCAAATTCTCAAATATAAATTATGGATTATAATAAATACTTGTAACTGTTCATTTTTGTACAAAACATTTAGTTTATACTGAATTGTATAAGAGTGAGTACTTGCGACATTAAATATGTCCAATCTAGATTTTCGCCAAATTTATTTGTACGATTTAAACTTGGGCGAAATGCGGCCCAAACCGCGCATAACATCAATACAGTTTGGGGAGGTGGTAGGGAAGCTTTAGCGAACGCACAGTCCAGCGATTTTCATCTCTGAGATTTCGATCTCGAAGCCAGGGAAGGGAACAGAGAATAAACCTGGCCTTCCGTTGTGGACTACGACGAAGAAAATTCACCTAAGACAACACGGGACATTGCGGAAGAGCTTAGTGTTGTCCACTCAACCGTTGTTTGCCATCCAATTGACAAGATGCATGGGTAACCGCAACATGTACCCGCCAAGCCACATGTCGCAATGCCAACCCTGCGTAACCTTAAGGACATAGGATATGAAACCTTACCGCACTCTCCATATCCAACTTTTTTAAACATTTTATCACTTCTTGAGGGATAAGATTTTTATATAACGCGGTGAAACCGAAAATACCTTCGAAGACTTTATTGTATTTCCAAATAACGACTTTTATATCAACGGAATAAAAGCGGTTATTACAAGTTGGCAAAGATGTATAGATTGTGATGGAAAATATTTCGTATAAATTTTCTTTATTTTATAAAAAGTAAAGATAGTTTTGACTGCATTTTCAAAACCTGCATTATTTTTGCACCATCTCTATTGTTGGTTTCACAAATTTTCTTACAAAAATCATTAAGAAAACAGTTTAAAAATTTGTAAACGCTTACTTACTTTTGAAATTATTTTATTTAAGTAATCCATTAATTTAAAAATGGTAATATTACTTATAAATGGATTGAAAGTAATTTGAGTGCATTAATTGCATGTTATTTGCATTAATGAATAGGGCTATAATATTTTTTCAATGGCATAATTATCAATGAGAAAAAATCGACTCAATTAATCGTTGATGCGATATTTGTGTTGAAATGGCCGTTTGTGCATGTCATGGCTGAGTCACCAGAAGAGCGGTGTAGAATGGCCGTGGTCCCCCAAACAGAAAATAAAATATAATTTGTCTTGGTTGCTCGCGCACGGGATTTATGAGGGCAATTTGTTTACACCGAAGAGAGGCAAGTCCTATTTTTACATAGCGGTATCACGTGGCACACGAGGAAACACTATAGGTGAAGAAAGTCACATAATAAATACAGGACGAAACCAACCGTGGGATTCTCGCTTTATTCAATCGACTGCCAATTTTTAATAGCCCCGCCTGGCCCCATTCAAAATTAACCTCTCAATTACATCGAGGAATATTGAACCTATACCGTAAAATCTAATAAATGGCAAACTAATTTGCCCGCTGTTAGACCCTGATGTAGAACCCAACCCCTACATACCCTATTTCATCCCTTAAAACACCCATTAAAGCTTTTATTTAAAACGCACTCAAAGATAAATAACAATCAAACGACAGATAAACTAATGAAATAAACACTAAAAACTAAGGTATCAGGTATACGTTACTCTATTCTAGTACTATTCTACAACATTATGCTATTCTAGAATCTGATACCTTAATATTTATGTTTTTAATTTTTATTACATGTGGGGGGGGGGTCGATGGCCGCAACGATTTATGCGTTGGCACGGCGCTCATCACTGTAAGGTAAAGTTCCGGGTTCGAATCCAGCGGCCTTGCATTCCAAACCGACATATTTACAAATGTGCTTTTTTTCAAAACAGCCCGAGGGTTCATATAACCTCGCAGTTGAAATACGTAACGAGTAATGGATTAGTGAGAAATCGCTCGCTTCATTCATATTTGAACACACCATTCTTTCTACCACTTATTGTTTTCAAACTGGCTTTCATTTATCGAGCAATGTTAAATTGTTTTTCTAAGCAAGAGAGAGAAAGAAAGATAGTGGGAGAGAGGGAGAGAGAGAGAGAGAGAGAGAGAGAGAGAGAGAGAGAGAGAGAGAGAGACAGACAGACAGACAGACATACAGACAGATAGAGCGAGATTGAGAGAGAAAGAGAGGGCTGAGAAAGGAAGAGAGAGAGAGAGAGAGAGAGAGAGAAAGAGAGAGAAAGAGAGAGAGAGAGAGAGAGAGAGATAGATAGATAGATAGATAGAGAGAGAGAGAGAGACAGACAGACAGATAGAGTAAGATTGAGAAAGAAAGAGAGTGGGTTACAAAGGAAGAGAGAGAGATAGATAGATATAGAAAGATAGATAGATAGATAGAGAGAGAGAAAGAAAGAGAGAGAGATAGATAGAGAGAGAGAGAGAGAGAGAGAGAGAGAGAGAGAGAAAGCGAGGGGGAGAGAAAGAGAGAGAGAGAAAGAAATCGAGAGGAGAGAAAGAGAGACAGAGAAAAAGAGAAAGAAAGCGAGGGGGAGAGAAAGAGAGAGACAGAAAGAGAGAAAGAGAAGGATTGAGAGAGAGGAATTGCAGCCATTTTTACATGTACCATGTGGCTTATCTCTACCAGACATAAAAATCTG